GAGAGAATGGAATGGGCAAGTGGCTGTTTTGGTGAGGGGCAGCCCAAGGCGTGACAAATCGCCCGCATGAAGTCAGCGTTGGCTGCAGTCCGCGCCGCCACAGTCATGGGCAAGACGATTTGCCACTATGCTTCAAATATACGTCCACGTTTCTATCGAAGGAAAATAATCCAGTTCTACGAGAAGATCCAACCGATACCACAAATATTCAACAGTCATATGCAAAATGGCAGCTGGTAGATTGACATTAAATAGAAAAGATAATCGTATATACCTGGGATGATAAATGAGAGAAAGTGTAGGCGGCCAATCTGTGCAGCCGAGTCAGGCTGATACCCAATTCAGAATGATATATACTTAAGCGCTGCCGCCGGTGCGAGCGATCATGTCCGCAATGATCTTCATGAAAGACTCCGCTCCCATGTAGATTTCGCCCGCGAGCGCCAGCGAGAAGAAGGTAAACACGCCGAGTTCCAGAGCCATGACTTTTCCAACCACCTTGAGGAAGCGAATCCGAGAGGCCCGGTCGAAGGTCTTCCAAGCATCGGTGATGCTGAGCTTACCGCTGCCCCCAAGGATAGCGGGCGTCACCTTTCCGCCGAAAGAGCGATCGAAAGGCACAATAGACTCGTCCTCCTCGGGCAGCATGGAAGCAGCGACACGGATGAAGATCACGCGAGCAGGAATGGACGCAATCAGCGAAAGCAGAGAAGGAAGAGCGACAACGGCGAGTGCCTGGCGAACGGCCTCGGCAGGAGGAACACCATCCTCCGGAGCGGAGGCCAATCCATCCAGGCCGCCACAAGCCTGCATCAGAACCAGAGGAATATAGAATGCAAGACCGGCAACAGCATGCTCAAAGGCCACAACGGGTGCGATCTTCAACCACGCCTTGTAGCCAGGAATACGCTGGTAGAAGCGCTTAGGAGAAGGCTCCGAGATGACAATGTGGACCCAAGCCAACTGCAAGTTCGCCAGGAGAACACCAACAATCATTTGGAAAATGAACTGCGGAACAAACTGGCCCATGCCAAAGGGCATCATACCCAGCAAGGGAGCCCGAGCAATAAGATATGTGAGGAACATGCTCAAGCCGCGGAATCGAGACCAGGGACCGGCACGGGCGCGAAGGTGCTTGATGGTGGTACGGAGCTTGCTAGTGATGGGCTTGAGAGGCACCGCTGCCAACTCGGGTTCGACTGCATCGTCGGGCTTGTTGGGATCCATGTCACCGTCGATGCGGACATAGATATCGGGGTTGCTATCTTCAACTGCAGCGAGGGTGGTGACTACCATGCCATAGGTGTACTCGATCTAGATCACAGCTCATTTAGCATATTCCTCTAACTAGTAGTGTTTGTGGAAATCATCACTCACCGACCAAGAAATAAGAACAAAAGCAATCAATGTAGTGAAAAAGAGGGCGACGAGCCATCCCGACAATTCGATCTCGGGTGGTTGCTTGGAAGGCTGCTTCGGGTGCTTCTGCAAATGCTCGGAGGCAAGCTCCACGCCTCGACGGACGAGGGAGCTGACAACCATGATGAAATCGTGTCAAAATGTGGATCAAACGTTGTCGAAGAATATGGATAAGAATTTGTGAAATGGATATCTTTGATGGACAGAGAAAGACAAGTAGTTGGATGGCAGTAAGAATCAAACAAAGAAAAGATGACGGGGCGTCGGCGATTTTATCTGCTGGGAACGGGGGGGCGGCAGGCGGGTCAACCAGTGCAGGCAGGCGAGCAGGCTAGAAGGCAGCAACGAGGCTGAGCCTCAGACTTCGGGTTTTACGGATGTATCGACGCCAATGAAATCCTACGAGGGGTGCAAAAGGTTGCACCATTCGGTCCTATCAGATCTATCACTCTCATCCTAGTGTTATGACAGTTATCGGTCCTTGCCCTGAAGCAGCAAAATTAGGGGCAACGCAACACGACGCCGTCAGTCAGCTTTCTCGTTCAACCATCCACAATTCATAGCATCGGTACGAATATTTGGGTTGAATTACTGGATAAGTAGTTGAGCAGCATCGCGACGGAAGTTTATTCACCTGCCTATTTGTCTGCTGACTCTGCTAACTGAGCTTGAGGCCGCCGTACACAACAAACATCAGTAGCTAGAGTGAGGTTGGACTCTCTGACAAATATTTGTTCGTAAACTCCGAAAAAACAATCGGTCCAGATCATTATTTCTGTCAGCACGGCGCCAAATGTTTCAGAAATCGAACAGCCCTGGTCGACGGTCGCTTGATGAAACTGATTGCGAGTAGACCAATAGAAAATCATCATCAAGTCTATAATACCTAGTAAACAGCATATCTAGGCTTCTATGCTCCCGTACATAGCGGAGAAACACTGGTAAGAAACGCAGAATATGTACTCTCGGGGCCACGCACAACGGAAAGTCAACGGAAAGTGGTATATATACAGTATCTCAACGGACGATCCACCCTTACACGAGCGAATTCTCATTCCCTTTTTTGATTCCATCAAATCTCGACATCTAGTCGAAGAGCTTCTTCATAAACTGGTGCGCGAGTTCGACGCCGGCACTGTTCAAGTCGTTAGTAAACACGATTCACTGCGAAACCTCCCGGAGAATCACATACAATGTAGCCGCATTTGCGGGAACAGCTCTGGCCAGGGCAGGACCGAAACCAGGGAAGAACGCCTTGAAGCCGCCGCTGGCATAGACCGACCGGATGGTGCCGCCGATTGTGGGCTTGCCGGGGGCACTCTGGAGACGCGACTTGATGGTGTCGACAGGGAAGACGGGGATCCACATCGCAATACCGGCAGCACCACCGGCAGCCAGAACGGCGGGCATGGACAGGTCACCGGTGATATTGCCGTGCTCGTCCTTGGGGGTCAGGCTGCGCTTGATGTACTCGTAGGCGGCGAAGTAGGCGGCGGAACCAGGGCCATCACGGGCCAGGGTCATGGCGCTTCCACGGAAGACACTCCGAATACCACCCTCCTTGTATAGTTGCCGGACGACGTCCAGACCACCAGAGTACTTGGGCTTCTGTCCCGGAGGCGGAGGGTTCTGACCCTGAATCTGCAGAAGCACCTTCACTCGCTCAAAGGGAGCCGTGATCAGTGTCATGGGAATGGCGGAGAAGAAACCAGCAGCGGAGATCTGGGCAATGGTGTACTGGGGGGTGTTGTTCTCCATGCGCACGTCCGAGAACTTGCTGACGAGTGTTTTCCCGACGTCGTAACCCTATGAATTGTTAATGGTTTCAAGCCAGACACCACTTTTATTGCCCGGAACGTACCCAGAAGCTAACGGCGACTGCAGACATCAATTAGCTCAATACTCCGATTCCCAAAGAATGCGACGCAACTTACACATAGGGGTGACTCCAACCAGCGGAGCCGAAACACCGGCGTACAATCCCTACAGCTCATTAATACCAAGCACCACACTCAACTGGCCGCGCGACTTACCCGAGCCAAACCCTCACGGGCAACAGTTCTCTTGACAACATCAATGGCACCCGAGTAGACACCCTTCTCCGCCGTCTGCAACCGCACCTTCACCAGATCAAAGGGATGGCCCACAACCACCGCACAGATACCACCCGCCGCACCTGCGGCGAGGGAGCGGATCTGAGCAATGGTTTGGTTGACAGCCTTAGTCTCTACGGCCTTGAGCTCATCCTTGAGGTTTTCAGGCGTAGACGCAGATGGGGTCGACATTGTGAAAGGTGTGTAGGGAGACGCGGGGAAACGACTCAGTTACTCCGTAGCGGGGGAGAGGAAGATAAGCAGGGACACAAAGAGGTCAAGATGTGAAGCGATCCCGAGGCTGAGCGAAGGGGTGAGAGGACGGAGGGCGCGAAACGGTCGCAAAAAGGGAGAACAAAGAAACGAAGCTGAAGAGAGGAGAAAGTTAATCACGGATGATATTCTACAACAAAATTGGAGGAGAAAAGACAGTCAAAGGGGAAAAAATAGCTCCAATCCCGCAACAAAAGCGGCCGAGGCCGAGCAGGAGGATACCGACGAATACAGTCCCGCTACAGAGGTACAACCACCGCTCGGCGAACGCGCGTGACTGGACCTCGGCTCGGTCCGGATCAATGTATCTCCTCTGAGCGCAGATGGTCGAAATATCGATAAGACAGGTCTGACCTTGTCAGCTGTACTGTTATCATCCAAGGCACCATCATAAAAGTGATCTTGTGTCCTGCGTATCCTTTCCTGCATCCCGGAATTTGTACTGATTCTACGACCATCGGATACTCGAACGTGCGCAATGGACGGTCCGGGTGAACGGGCACTAAACCACGGCTCAACCTTTAGGTCTTTACCCCCTCCACGGATCCCTGCCCCGGATTCCATTACTCCAGGTATTCTGGCCAGTCACGCCAGCCAAGAGCAGGGGGCACCTCTACGGACGACAGGAAGCTTGGCTCTCGTGGACATCCCTGTCTTCCAATATTTTTTAATTTTTTGACTCAAGCGATTGATCAAATTTGTTGACCGACGACATTGACAGTTGTCTCCATACCAGCTGATGTCATCAGAGGTGTTCTGTTCTGGGAATGCCAAGGAATCACATGCGACAGACCGCGCAGTGACGGTACGGAGTATGGAGTAGGGCTGAGATTGTCAACTTCCGCATCCACGTGCATGCACACCAGGTTGGCGCCATTCTGCTTTGTCCTTCAAGTAGATACTTCAAGTGCTCTTGAGTATCTGCTGACGCGTGATTGCCACTAACATAGTTGGTTATATCTACGGAGCACCAGGGAGTCTACTTGAGGGGAGGAGATATAGACAGGTCAGAAATATTAATATATTAGGATAGCACGACGGATACCGTGGCATCGGAAAAGAGATCAAAACATTATTTACTAATCAGACCAGAATCCGCCAATTCCCATGTACAAGCCGGCTTTCAACGGCAGGTATCATCGACCGTTATTCATCAACATAAAACATACACTGACATCAGCAAACCTATTGCCATCAACTCAATCTTTGAGAGTTTTAGAGGATAACAAAGGCAGCGAGGGCCAGGGCTCCGACGGCACCGGAACCAACGACAGCGCCGCGAGGGGCAACATTGTGAGTGGACGTGTTGGAGGGGGCAGTCTGAGTGGCAGTGGCAGTGGCAGTGGAGCCGGAGCCTGAGCCCGAGCTGGTACCAGATGCTGTCTCAGAGGAACTGTTGCCGGTGGAGGTGCCATTCTCAGATGTGGAAGTGGAGCTGGTAGTAGTAGTAGTCATTGTCGTATCTGTGGTAGTGGCACCAGTGTTGGAGGGGTTCGCTCCAGAGGTAGTAGTTCCAGTTTCCGAAGGGTTGCTGCCAGTGGAGGAGGCACCAGAGCCAGCACCAGCACCACCAGTTGTGTTGCTGCCGCTGCTGGTGGCAGTGTTAGTAGCGGTGGTAGAGGATCCAGAATTAGAGCCAGAGCTAGAGCTGGAGCTAGAATTAGAGCCAGAGCCGGAGCCAGCGCCAGAGCCGGAGCCAGAGCCAGAGCCGGAGCCAGAGCCAGAGCCAGAGCCAGAGCCAGAGCCAGAGCCAGAGCCAGAGCCAGAGCCAGAACCAGGGCTAGCTCCTGTGGCAGTAACAGCTGCAGAGTCACCTAACGATTGCAGTCAGCAACTAGCTCGTTTGCGTTGAAGCAGCGCAGATTCTCGGGAGTACTTACTAGGGCAAGAGGACAGGGCACTGGATAGGACAGCGGCAGCATTGTCGCCAGGACAGGCCTCGGCAGTGCAATCACGGATACCAAATCCGTAGTTGGCTTTTGTGCAGAGACAGTTCGTGTCGCCGCTGGAGCAGCCCAGCTCGCCAGCCTTGTTATTCATGTTGTTGAGGCACATTTGCTGCGAAAAGGGGAGTCAGTCAAGGGAAATTTTGAAGGAGTTTCAGGGCAGTTGAACAACGTACTGCGCACTCCGAGAAAGATATGGCGGCGCTCGCCATGCTGGCCACCGTCAGCACAAGGAGAGAAAGAGAGGCCTTCATGATGAGGTATAGAATATCGAAAATGAAGTGAAATCAGAAGATCGATGAATATACTGAGTGATATTCAATCAATTAGAGCACTCTTGGAACCTTGGGCAGAATAAGGTCGATGATGTAAGTTGAAAGAATTCAAGGGAGTGGAAGAGGAGGGGCGCTTTTTATAAGGTAACTACGGCAAGGTAAACCCAAATAATCGCGCTTAAGTTGACAGCAATTGAAGCTTCGAGTTTCTCAATGGTCCTGGGGGATCCATTCCCTCAATCAAAGAACGATCGACAGTCGTCCTCGTCCACAGTAAGTCCGTGACCGCATCTTCGGCTGAATGCTGCCTGGCAACGTGGCTAGTCTAGTACGGAGTAGTGCATGGTAGGTACCCACTACTAGGGAGTAGAGATCGAGGCACGGGGTGTTTTGCTGCTTGGTGAAGTCATTGATAGAATCATGGACTGATCAACTTTACAAGCGTGGGTCGTCATGGCAGGGATCTTGGTTCTGCATGCGTGCAGGTGGCTGACTGAGAATCGGGTATGGAGTAGCGATGATCCCAGCCGCTGTGGCTTGACTTGAGTCCATATCTAGCCCTCATTGGCTGCACTCGCTAGATTTCAGGGTTTAGCGTGTAATAGTCCGATCAAAAATTTGAGATTTGCTCATCATTACGGAATTTGAAGAGGTTACCAGCCACACTCTTAGTTCTGTTAGTTCTGTTCATCTGTTGCTAAGTTCCTGGCTTCAGGCCTAGGAGGGACATGACCACATTAGGGACGCATTCCTAGATACAAGCTGGCCAGTTTTAAGTAATTTGCATCGACAAAATGAGTCGCATAACAGGATTATCGCAATGCCTACTCAAATTAAGGATGGCTCCCTGGCGTTGTACTTGGACCACAGTATACGTCAATGACAACGTCATATGCTGATTGGCTACCGGAAGCGCACTAACAAGCTCATTTTGCCAGCGCAGATCAAGAAAATAATAGGTGGCGGCCGAATTTCTACCGAGTGTAGAGAGGTATGACCATATGATCTCGTCTGGAGAGGTTGGAGCTGGAAGGGGCTGGTAACTTGGTGTCTGGGACTTGGAATGATCGACTGTGGATCTAAGCTATGCAATTGAGTTTCTGCTTTTCTCACTTCATTTTCAAGCATTTTTTCCCCCTCCCATGATTGGCCAGAAGCTCAAGTAGAATCCCACCGCCTATGTGCAATAATACAGCAATCCTGGACGAAGTAGCTCACTAACTCCCTCACTCACTAGCCACATTGTCAACTAAAGCTACGTAAAAGGCTAAGCCCAATACAATAAAGTCGGTGGCAAACCTTGGGCCTTGGACGCTCTCCGCTAGACTACCTGGTAACCTAGAGCTATGCATTATGCACCTCTCGTAACCATGAGTGAAACATGAAGCTAGTGTAATTTGATATCCACTACCTGATCCTCGCTACGGGAGCTTAACCTGGGTTAATTCGAATGTGCTGTGCAACAAGGCAATTTGCTTGTTGAAGTTTTAAAATTGCTAACAGTTACCTTGCTGTCAAGGAGCATTAAGGTACATGTGCTGGTACATTTCCTGCCCCTCAGAAGCATGGCATTCTATTAAGATCACCCGTGATGGCAATGGTTATTTCCCCCAGGTAACAGGACATGATCTCTCGTCGGCAAGGCCCGTTCTTCCCGTACATTTTGTGGGCAATGTCTTGAGTTTAATTAAATTTGAACTGCGAGACGCATCATTCTCGCGAACACAATAATAAAGGGATACCTCGACGAAAAGTGTGTTTTGACTTTGACTTGCGTCTTGACTCTTGACTTCGCAACAATGCCCTAGGAAGGCTGCCGCTTTCAGGCATCTTTGCTCTTACTTGACCAAGGTCAAATGGATGCCAGTGGCGCTGCACTTCCCTAACTGGGAATGTCTTCGCATCGAGCTGAAGCGACTCAGAAAGTTCGTCTTGCGTCTTGCGTCTTGCAGCCAGCGCACAGCGCCCTTCATTTTCGCATGTGCTCTCGGTTTTCGCTATTTGTACTATCTTCCCTCCATCCACCAACCGAAATTCTGGACCACAGGGGAATATTTCAGGCTCATAGTCTCACCTGACCCTAGTTTCCCATCAAACACCCAAAAACATCCTCGTTCTTGGAGCTTCACAAGTACCTGGATCACTGATCAACGTATGTTGCACTTTGCACCTTTTTGAATCAAACAACTATGGCCATTGTGAGCATTGTTTCATGCAAGATAAGCTTGAATCAATAAGACGATGCTTATTCCGACATCCTAACCTGCTGTTTGCGTCACTTTCGTGCTCTTACCGCAGACGGTATGATGAGCCTGAGGTGTGTAGAACTGTGGTCAACAGCCAACTGGCATATGGGAAAGGGCTCTTTGGCCCTGAAAAGGGTAATTTGGAACGTGGGATCTTCCTTGGGGAGAACATGACCAGACTCCTTGACAGCAGACCCTGCATTCCATTCCATTCCATTCCATCCCCACAGCACCCCACGTTCTGATGATTCTCGTGTCTGAGCTTCGACATTAGACAACGAGGGATAAAATCGTGAACCATTTCTACATGCTCCCAAGTGGAACCGACCATGAAGCGAAGAGGAGGTTATCATTTGCAGTAAGAGTCGACATATTGTGGGTCGATATTCTACTCACTGGGCCAGCATAGTTGACACCACGATCGCGTCCAGATGCGGTTGCATTCCAACCGGATAAGGTTCTCATCTGTTTGCATGAAGTCGCAACAGGAAGGCAAGAAACCATAAGCATCAACGCAAAAGCCATGAAGGTCAAAGCACCGATGCTTAGCTTGCTTAAGTTATTCAGTAGAGTTAAGATCGCCTAGTCTTGCCAACCATGTTCGCACCATTTGATACAAATGCAAGAGCATTCCCATATTCAGGGGCGTTTCATTGGCTGTACACTTGTCTATTCAAATACGGGGGTATCCGGTGTTCCTCACAACCGGCACCAGGCAGCAACTGGAGCCCGGTTCAACTTGGAGAGCTAGCTTCTCAGAGATCCGGAGTCAGTCAGAGAGCTGTCAGGCGGAGACGCTCCTGTCATTCGCACCTGTCATTCAACGGCCCGCTTTTAGACTCATACAGTCTTGAAGAAACCAGGTGCTTGGCATGTTCCCGAAGCGTATCACCCTTTGCGATGCAACCTGAATCCACCCTTGGAACTACTAATTCCCCTCGTTCTCTCGGCCTATACATCCCGCGCCTGAACCAAGCGTCCAGCGGGGTCTACTGCGTGAATCAAGCAATAAGCTCTGTCAGTCTGACTTAAGGTAGGAGCTGTTCTCGAGGTAGGGGCCCCTCCCAGAAACGACCGTGGTTTTGCTCGACCTTAATGTAACCTTTTGTTTTGTGGCGCCGACGGATTGAGCCCATGATGCTCAAGAGTTACAATGATCAGTCTCGGCCGTTCGGTTCGTAGGAAGCAGAAACAGTTAAAAGCGTGACAGATTCCCATTCGCTGTCTGGGGTGATTTTCAGAGACAAAGACTCGGTCAATGCAGTTTTCTTAGGCCTGATTGTTGCAATTCTCCATTCGACTCAATCAAAACATCGCTGTGATAACTCTACTATGGCTACTCTACGGAAGTCCAAGGCCAGCTTCCTGGCTTTGATTTTCTTGGTTGATATGGTTTCATTCGCTGGTCTCGTTGGAGCTAGACCTGTTGCCATGGACCAGTTAGATGTTGTGAGTCCCTTATGGATAGAGAGCAGAAGCATAATGTTCATCGCTGATAGCCGACACAGGAAGGTTACCATGGCAGCTTGGGGCAGGATGGAGCCGCTGGCCTCGCCGAGGAGCTCGGCTGGCAGGAAGCCTCTGGCGTGGACAGCGGCACGCACATCCAGTCCAGACAATACTCTGGTTTTGGCGGCACTGCCACTGGTGGCACGACTACGGGGAATGCCGCCGCAGGTAATTCTCGGCCCGGAAGCAGCACGACGGGAAACACTGGGACCGGCAATAGCTTTGCTGGAACGGCTGGTTCTGGTATCACGGTCACACCATCTGGAGGTGAAGGCGGAGGCACTTCTGCCTCGCCGTCGAGCCCTGGCTCTAGCGCTCCAGGTACCGGGGTGAGCGGGCCTGCCGCCGCAGGCAGCGGTCCCGGTAATGGCTCTAAGGGTGGCGGTTCTCCGACCAGCGCTGCAGGCAGCTTTGCCACTCCCGCATCTGGGGGTGTTAGCGGAGGCTCTAGCTCTGCTTCGGCAATTCCAGGAACCACGGTCAGCGGATCTGGGCTCTCTGGTAATGCTGGCGGCACCAGCGGCACAGGTCCTAGGCCCAACGGCAGCGGTTTCTCCTCCAGCAGCTCCGGGAGCAATGGCACGCCAAGCTCTGGTTTAGGTTTTGGAGATACAGCATCTGAAGGGAGCGGAGCTGTTGCCGGTACTCCCGGCAGCTCGGCCTCTGGCCCTGCAACAGGCGACGCAGGCAATGGAAGTGAGAGCCCTTCGAACCTTGCAGACGCTGGTAGAGAATCTACCCCCAACAAACCTGCAGGATCCGGAACGGGTACAGAGGGTTCTGAAGCTGTAGACTCGGCTGCCAGTCGGGGTTCTGCCAGCATGGAAGCGCCAGACTCCGCCGGCGCCAGCAACAAGGTTTCCAAACGTGCAAAGAGATCGACTACAACTGACCCCGTCAATGGGGGCACCGGAAACAGCCTCAATGGAGTCAACGGTGGAGCGACCAACACCGGCGGCGGCACAAATGTCAATGTCATTAACAGCCCAGCCAGCGCGGCTGATAAAGACAAAGGGACGATTAATACGCTGCTTGACAAGCTGTCTTCGATCATAAAGACTTTGCGCTGAGCTTGATATTGCCTGGGGTCAATTCAGGATGTGCGTTTCGATTTTATGTGGCGGCAATCGTGTTCTAAAGTCTGTTATAATTATACATCTTAATGGGAATATACCGCACCGTCTAGAGTACGGATAGGCTGATGGTTCTATTCATCTATCCATAACAATGTACCGCATGCTTGTCAAAGGAAGAACCACACCTCGCCCCAACTGACATCTCAATTAAAGTTTAGTATGCTGGTAAATAACTATCACTCGGCCATGGTCCGCAGCGGTTCGTTGTGGAGAATCAGGCAATCTACCTTCTTGACTTCAACATCCACAGTAGTATCACTCAGGGAAGATGGTATTCTAAAATGCAACGTCACTAGTCCCTCTGGCCTAGACCACAGCCGCTTGTCCAAGACAGCTTACTTGAGAGTCTGGTCTGGCTGCTTGCAGCCATACCTAGACAGGGGCACAGAGCAATCAATATGAGTTACTAATGAATATAGATACTAATATCAGCTACAGTCCTTTATTGCTTATCCATGCAGACTTGGTGGATGTACAGAGTAGAAGCTATCATTTGCAAGATGGCATGCAGTCTTTAAGTGAGTCACTAGGTAGTCAGAGTCTGTTGACAGATTCAACTGCAGGATGTACTTGTGATTTTGTGCAGTGGCGTTGCTATACTATACTATCTCATAATATGATACTTTGACGAACGCACAGCGCGGAAGGTCTTTGAGGGCCAACGGCGACTACTTACAGTGCTGATACTGACCAGATCGGGAAAATCACAAAGTAGGCCTATCGCAAACCATTGGCTGGCTTTGCTCATCATTGTACCTGCCGGGTAGCCTTATACTGCGTTGCAGTGACATGCTTAGGTTGAGATGGTCTAGACATTGACTAATTTCCGAATACGGAATGGGGTCATTGTGGATACCCCATACGACCCAGACTTGACAGCAAAAATTTTGATAACCAAAATACACAACGGAATTTGCAAAGTAAAAAAGTAAAAAGGAATGACCTACGCAGGATTCGAACCTGCAATCTCTTGATCCGTAGTCAAGCGCCTTACCATTGGGCCAGCAGGCCTTGTTGATGCTGATGAGCAATACATCGGTTTATCAAAGCAATCAAAGCAATCCGTAGCAATGATTCATGAGCAATGAACTAGTTATACAAAAAAGAAATCTATGTTTTCATTTAAGGTCATACAGCCAGCCACCGCGACGCTCGACTCAAGCTCTCCTTTTCTGAGACAGGACCCTCCTGCTCATCCACCGAGTCAATGGTAATAGCCGGAACCTCGCGATACCCCCTTCCACTCCGGGCATACCAACACCGACACAGCGAGATCATCACCCTCCCGACCACGAACCCAACCAGACACGCACACAGCCCCGCTGCAACACCCAGCAACGCAGGCAGAATCACCGGCCGCACGAGTCTCATGAAGCTGCGATCGCGGCTGCTCCACGGCATGGTGTTGTGGTAGTGGGACGCAGGGTCCTTGAACCGGTAGATATCTGCATGCAGCGGCCGGCGATGATGCCGCGGTTCGCCTTCTCCATCGCGGTCGGCACCACCAGCCAAGTGATCGAGGTAAGGCTTGATGTGCGATTTGAAAACGCGCCAGGGGGACGTCATGTGGCCGTGTCGGCGGAACGGGGACCGCTCGACCTTGCTGATGCTGAGGGTGCCGTCGTTGCGTCGGGATACGGCCACCGCGACCTGATCGTGTGTAACGGGCCGGCCGTGGAGATCGAACAGGCGCAGTTTGAGGAGGAATGTGTCGCCTAGGAGGGCGCCAGGCTGGGCGGGGAGAGGTCGTGCGTCGAGGCTGTAGGCGACCTGGACGGATTGCTCGCCAGAGTCCGAGTGCTGGACGGCAGGGAATTGCATGGGTAATGACGGTGGGAAGACGGATTCGTGGTTGGCGTATAGGGTGCCATTGTCAGAGGAGAAGTCAATAGTCTGCGAGGTTAGTATCGTTGTATCGGAGACGTTAGGATTGACGTACCACGTATGATTTTGACTCGGGACTCTGAGAACATTCGGCGTCTGAGAATGCACAGTGAGAGCAGGGAATGTCGATTTTGTAGAAATGGCGACTATGTTGGATGTTTGATGTTTGAATATCGGCGGGGTGGCCCTGAGGAGCGAGGGCAGCGACGCCACGGCCCAGGCAGAGACCGGCCAGTGACAGAAATCGCAGCAACATGGCGATTGTTGGGATAGACAGTCGTAAGGAATGGTGGTGATGACTATGTTTGTATATAAGAGCGCATCAAGCGTTCAGCAACCTCGAATATCCGAATGTGGATGGTAAATAAGTGCAGGAGGAAAACGTTGGGTGTATGTACAGAGTCAAAGGGATGGTAATGAATGAAGCGGCACTAGTGGCAAAAGTGGCTTTTTATGGATGAAAACGTGCTCATCTCATAGTGAGGTGATTTGACGCGGGGAGGCATACGTGAACCTAAAATGGGCGGATTCACGGATGGGCTGGAAAAAGGAAGACTGCGGGCAGGCAGGCAATCTTATACCAAGTCTACAGGCTACTTCTGGAACACGGCTACAATTATGAACTAGTCAAGCTAGGAGATAATCGATTTGGGGTCCTGAAATCTGCACAGCCAGACGGCGAGGCAGATCGATAAGGTAAGGGCCTTAATGTATCGTCTAAACTGAGACATGACATGCGACCCAAGGCTGGTTGGTGTTGTACAGCCTCAATCACACGAGCCGATCATTTCCTGCGATCGTTGGCTTGGATACAACTACGAGGAGGATCCTGTATCTCATTGCTACACTTAAAACCAGGACGCTACACTCAAATACTAAGACTTGGTATTCTCTATTGCAATGCATAACGCGATTAAGAAACTTAAGATTGCTGTTGCCTGGAGGTCTGTGGTGGAGAGTGAGTGACATTAAATGAGCTTGTAGAACTTAAGACATTACCCACTCGCCCATCAATCTTACTAGGTAGGAACCTTGGTCCGAAAAAACTGCCTAGCCAACCAGGTGCTCCCATAATGATGCAAGTTCCTAGGCTTCCAATTATCCAATAAAACGGACCAACGGCTGACCAACAGTTGCCGACAGCACAACCTCCTATTGGTGTCATAGGCAAGGTACCAGTTAGGTAATCCAAGGTACATAGGCTAGTTCAGTACTTGACCAAAGCATTGCATTCAGCACAGTCTTGCACACCTATGATAGTTGTAAATAATGCAGCAGTATTCATGTCTGAAAGCGTCCAAACCAAAAGGGGCAGATTTCCCGGAGAACACACCTGACAGCCTCCTGCTTCAACTAAGACACCGGCTATTGGCCAGGCTAGTCTGCCCACCATCTATTGTTAGCAACAGCTCCGACACTCAAAAAGTTACCAGACCATGTGACTTGTCTCATAGGTCATCTCCGTCCTCCCACATAAGAAGAATCTGCTCAAGAACAATGAGGGATTAAATGGGCCCAATTAAATCTGGTCAAGAAAGCTTAGCGGGAAAGCTCATCTCAGCCTACTCTGTGGTGGACCCACCCTAAATACTGTGCAATATTTCTGCCTTGTGTGAGTTGCCTGACTCGCCTTCTGCCCTACCAGGTAACTAGACMACAAACTAGTTCGTTAAGCGCTGAAACTTTGATAAGATGCTAAAAGAAACGTTTGACGTCGATTGCTTGGAAGCACCTTGGCCAGCATATGCCGATAGAGATCGGCTCCGGCTGACATCACCTGCATACGGGATTTGTGTTGGTACCAGTGTTTCGGCCCCCGAGGATCCCGATTCAACCTTGGGACTATGTTGGTTGTTACTAAAGCATGGCTGGGTACTACAGTTCTCAAGTCTGTCATTAGTTCATTACGTTGCTGAGGTTCGGACGTTAGTCTATAGCAAGTAGCCTATAAGTGCGGCTATGATCTCTGACATCTCACCATCCAGAATCAGGTCATATGTGGCGGAATTGGCATTCATATGTTCTGCCTGTGTTGGAGACCTCCTTAGGAAGCTCCTCCAACACCTACACTCTGAATCAGCTTTCGTGGGGCTTGCTGTGGACTTCATGATATAGATGGGACTGCGAGATAATTCAAGGCAGTTATAGGGGAATACATGTCGTTAGGGGATAGTGAAGTGACTCCCATAGCCTGGATGAATGAGCATTAAGATGATAGTATTTAGGCTATAGGGGAATGCAGCATAGTTTTGATATGACCTCTTGACAGGCCTTAGGGCTGTTATAGATGCATCTGCAAACAATACCCCTTTCTTCCCTTAATATATATCTCGCTTATTTGGTCATACAGTCTGCATTTTAGTATATGTATATCTAGGCTTACTTAGCAAGATGTTGGCTCATAGAGATGCTAGCGAAGGGTGCTGTATTACTACTCCTACTACTCCTACTACTGCTACCCAATTTCGGGAGATGTAGTATAAGATTCTACCTACCAAGGTTATTGTAAGCTTTGATTCCATAATCATGACATCTCCTTTTCCATTCACTACTGTTAAACTAATTACGACCTCATCACCAAATACTTGCTCGCTACTTCTCTTCTGCAATCTACAACAATGTCAACTCCTTCCCCAGACCACTCTCCATTGCTGGGAATAGCGCCAGAAGAGTCCAGTTTCAGACGCCGAAGATTCGTCTTCCAAGTCAAAAATGACATTCTCAATGCAAGGGAATCAGTATTTCTGAAATATGAGAGCATAGAACCCAGCATTGGAAGCCGTGCTGCACTCAGTCTCGACTCGGATGGGGAGATCGAGGCAAGATCAGTCCTCATCAATTACAATTCAGTCACCCAGATCTTCACAGTCGATATGCCCACAGCTTTTCCCAGTTGTCATCAACCCTGGATTATCGATGAGTTCATCCAGGCAGGGGTGTCGGGGTTCTTGACTTGCGCTGAAAATGACGATATCACCATGTCTTCAAACACTCGTATGTTACATCCTCTTTAAATCCTTGCATACCTAACGGACTCCTGCACGGAGCAGGCTTCAATACATTTGCAGAAACATATCCGATGTCATTTGCTGTGCCAAATCTCTACTTGGAACCGAGTGGCTTTCCCCTGCCCACGATTGTGTTTGTATCGGGGTTTGCCCAGTAATATCCATATCTCCTTATGCAGAAAGATGTCTGGCTGATTGGAGGGGCCGCGCACGTTAACATCGACTTTATCGTGAAATGGTCCCAAATAAGTCAATCTAGAATAGAAGGTAGACTTGAGATTTGGCGTAAAAATCAGCAAGGACCTGAGACCCTTGTAAGGATCTCCCCCAGGAACATCGTTTGGTTTAGATGCTCAATTAACGGCTCCTTTCCAGGACATTTTCCCGCGTCCCCCTCTGGGGACTCCTCCCCAAGAGATCACTATCAGAAGGGATGAGCTGTGTGGCAATGCGATTCCCCCTGGCAGAAGACCCAGTGACGTCTGGAGGCTTTCTCTTGAGCGCTTTCGGTATAGAGCTGAGCAAGCCATACGCCACCAAGGTTATGTCCCAGCATGAATGCAGATGACCAGAATAATCAGAGTTTGCATATCTAATCGAATCATGAGAGTTTGATTCATTTGCAGCTCCATATCAGATGTCGGCTAGACCTGACCTAAAGCCGTGCGCCTTGCCTCTACCAATAATTGTCTTCGAAATGGGGTATTTCCAGTCTTACCCACGGCTACTGAAGAATAAAAACGTCTGGAGGCAGGGGGTTTAGGGGGGCACAAGTCAACGCGGTCGTCCTAATAAATGATCCGCGTTAAGGCCATCATCAATGAACCATGTCATTGCCGCCAATTTACTGCCTTAGAGCCCACCATTAGAAGAAGCGAGCTATACGGCATGCACTGTCGCTACAGTTGTGTATGACTACGCCGCATTTGCTGATCCTCGACAAGGTCGAATTCAAATATACTCTCMTATATAATGTTAATTATCATCAACCTCTCGGATCTTATACTCAAACATCTGATTCGAGGGGATCTTGTGTTCGTTCTCCAACTTCTGCGCGGTTTCCACCCCGGCCGCAGGGACTCGATACTCGAATCTCTTCCCCGGGCCTGGGAGCCTGCCATTGGGCAAAGCATAAGGGTATGGGAGGTATTCTGGCATTAGGCCCAGCTGCACGAGGACTGTCGCCTGATCCCATGCTATATGCTCGTGGTATAGACGATCCCCACGGATATTCACCACTGATGTGAATGGTATGCGGAGAGGCTTTCCGGTTGGTGGGATGCCGGGAATACTATAAGATATTAGGGTTTGTTCGTAGAGTAGATGCAGGTGGATCTCACAGCCAGTCGATCTCCTTGTTATGTGTGAGGGAGAATATGAACTCGTCCACGACGCGGTCGATACCGACCGTGCGACTGATAAGCTCCAGGGCTGTGTCATCAGGATTATTGAAGATGAAATGATTCAGGTAGAAATTGCTCAGTCGCGCACGGCCAATTCCACCCGTCATCTTTCCAGCGTCAGTCTCGTCAAGAGCAGCAGGAATGGGTCTCTCTCACAGTCGGAACATGATTCACATAGGGCTCCTGGACCATTGTCGCCATAGTCTTCTCTACCGATCGGTCTCCGAATTCGTAATAGGTATGCTCCTCCCAAATCTTCTCGAGATTAAAGTAAGGCCCATTTAAGTGCTTCTTCAAGAAGCTCAATGACCTGGTATGGGCTACTCCTGCTGTCGAGTACTTGAAATCCGCATGACCGGGTACAATGAAGCCAGCGGACGAGACGTCAGGGTATGAATACAAGGTGCGGCTTTCTGTTCCCTGGATTCCATTGCTAACTCCAGGAATGTGTACCAATGTAGGAGTATCAGGGAGCGTATCCCAACTCCCGAAATATACCACCGCTGCTATACCAGCAGCTACGACTGCATCCAGGATCTTCACAAATTCCGGTGCATATTCAACTTGGGAACCGTAGACTAAGCCCATTAGTATGCAAACGGCCTTTGGAATATCTGTTCATACCTAGCAAGCCGAATTGATCATTCTTATCACACTCCCGGAGTGAACTGAGGCTGTCGATCGCTGTCTTGACAAGATCAAGTACATAACCCTCGTCGCCACTGGATTCCGCATCAAGACTAATCTGGACTATCGCGTAGCTCTCCTCAGCCCATTTCTGAAAAGGCTCTGGATCTAAACTGCTGTTCTTCTCCTGGCATTCTGCGAAATGACTCGGCCGGATAAGTATCAGTCCCGGTCCACGGCCACAGCGGGAAAGCGGGGGCTGTAAAACAACGCGGGGGTTCAGCTCAACTCGGGGAGCAGAGGGAAGGGAAGTAGAGCTGGACGTCATGTTGTGCAAGTAATATTTGGCGGCTAGATGCTCTCAATTTACAGGTAATAATTCATTGACTTCGTTCTGTCGAAATGGTGCGCAAGTTACGGGTGATTTTGGAAGATATAAACTCCCCTGCCTGCGATTTATCCGACAACAAGAAGCCAGGATCTGATATGATCGCTAGAAATCAATGAGTAATGTCTCAGAGGACTATCTGTTGAATATAGAGGACCAACATGGCCTGACTTGAGCAATCGGATCTCGTCCGCATTACGCCCGCGTCTCCGCAACAATGTGACCCCAATATCTTGCAAGACAGGCCAACTCTCGACTACTGGTAGATGGCCTTTTTCCCTCCCAAGATGCGAGAGGCATGTCCCCTTATTATCAGATAAACTATGTTCTAAGTTAGTCAGCAGTTTGGAGAACTAGTTACACACCACTCTAAGGGACAATCCTTAGGTGATGGCACGTGATGTGGGGCTGTTATGTCATGTGATAGAACTTACTCGTTTGGGCCATTGCTTCAACGGTTCCTTGGATCAGTCACCATTCAAGCTCCAGTCGCGTCACAACCGGTCAATGCAGATAAATATCCCGATTACTCCTTGCTTCTAGCCTGATATACTTTGCGTCATTCTCAACTTCGCATTGGTGCCTGTCGACACCTCCCGCGACGCGTGCGATCAACTGAAGCTCAGGCATTCATACATATTGTGCAGGAAGGGAGCTAGAATACACTCAGAATGAACGTCGAGTTTCAAAAGACTCTTTCAAATCTGGAAGATAAACTCAATGCCCTTATAACGAACCTTACAACCTCGCCGACCGCCTCCGGAGCTCCTGCCGCAGCCCTTGCACTGCTTGACGCGGACGACTCGCTCACATCGACCATTGAGACGCTTCGCCGGCACCAGGAGAACTACGCCAGAATTCTAAAACTTCGCGCGGAGGCTGAGAGTCTGGAGGAGAAGGTCAAAGGCATCGTGAGAGACGTTGTGGGCTACGAGAAGGAGATTCGAAGGATCTGCGGCGACGACGAGGCGAGCGATTCGGATGCGGAGGACGTTTCCGATGATGATGACCTGGATTACGGCGGCGATCAAATGCAAACCAAGCCAAGCGGTTTGCGGAAAACAAAGGAGATTGATTACAAGTTGCTGCTGGACTTTGCGCGACGGATTAGCAAATATAATCACCAAGCCGCGGCCGATGCAGCTGCCAACGCCACTCAGGCCGTCAAAGCACGGGAAAGAAGTCTACAACCTGGCGACCAGGACATGGCAATGACGGGTGTAAATGGTGGCCCTGGCGCGGAGGAAGGCGCAGAACCGGTCTCATCCGTCACGAAGGAAGCGACATCCTGGCTCGATGAATCGGCGAAGATGACCCGCCAGGTTTACATGATCCCATATCCGATGGAAGACCGTATTCGCATGGGTCTGATGGGTCAGATACAGCTGACCGCTGCCGAAGGTCGACCGGGGTTCGATCCCGATCAGGAGGTGGAACGATTGATACGCGAGGCTGAGGGTCTGGGATCTACAGAGCCAGTGGTTCCTGCACCGCAGCCTATGGGAGAGGAGAGGAGACATGCGAACGAAGCCGCCAAGGCTGCAGCTCACGCAGGCGCGGCGAGCAGCGGAACAGCCGCACCAGCGCCTGCGCCTAAGCCCAAGGCGACTCTGGATCTTGATCTCTACGACCCTGACGACGACGAAATGATGTGATTAGATGTACAGTACCCCCGAGTACATTTGCACATAATTCCGAACACCCTACTACAGCCGGTATACGCTGAAGGTCCTGGATCAAAGTATTCATTGCATGAACTCATTCTGAACTGAGAATCGGAAAGCATCCAGCGCTACTTGCAACAATGATGGAACTACATACTGTGAACTGATGACTTGGCAGTCCACTTCCGGAAACGCTTTCCGTAGAAATAGACCGGAATGGCGCAAAGACACCAGAGAGTGGTCAAAGACATATTCATCATGATGGGGCTTACGAAACCGCTTTTAATCACCCACGGGGTGATGAACTCGGAGAATCCATAACCCCACAGGTTCTTGTTGACTGTGATCGCCACAAAGACTAAGCCCGCAACGGGCTTATAGCTGTCCACGGCGTAGGTGCTGGTAATGGCTGGAAGAGCGCAGACCTGAATGCCAGCGCAAGTGTAGCCGATTATCACAATAATCTACAAGGCAGTTAGCTTGAGCCGCTTCTAACGCAATGCTGTGAACTGACCCTCCAATCCCATTTGTGCTCGTAGCCAAACGCCACGACGAAATTGCCTATTATCATGATGATCACATAGGGTATCATGGCTGGCAATCTCATMTCTGGCTCTCGAATACCTCTGTTCTTCTTTGTGGCTCTCATCGAAATCCAGTCAGACAAAGGCCCGTTGGTAGCCAAGCCTATGGCAGCCCCTACGATAATGGCAAAGTTGAAGAACCCGATGGTCTGGCTGTTGAAGTTGTATGGAGGAGCGGCAAAGGCTTGACTCTGGGTGAGATTCAAGGTCAAAAAGCAACTGGCGGACCACGAGACGGTGAACGCAGCAAGTTCGACTATGGGGAACGAAAGTAGTTTCCACGGAATCCAGAAGCAGGTCCACAGTGTCTTGAGATAGTTGTCTGACGGCTGCCAGAGCATGAACTGCTGTTTGGAGGGATAGCCCTTCCGCAGCCAAGGGTCTTGATCTGCTCCGCTCTCGGATGCTACGTTTTCCTGCTGCAGGGTGACCTCCACCGGCTTCTCCGGCTCAGAGGCCGACGAGGGAGTCACCACCTGTTCTTGACCATGCTGTATCTCGGATGGATGGGCGCGGTGCCATTTGGTTTCGGGGAACAGGAAGACGAGGGCTACGAGAACGACGCCCAGGATGCCGGTGTTGAGCCAGAAGAAGCTGCGCCAACCGATGTGTTCTGCCATGGGACCGGAGATGACGGGACCGACCTATGGTGACAAGTCAGTTCAAGTCATTATTGCCTTGTTCACGATGCCTACCATCAGAGAACCAAAATAGGCGGTGAAGTATAGCGTGTTGTATGCTCCTCGCTCGTGGAGGAACACGACGTCAGCAATGATCTCGGGTTGGGCTGTCTATCATCCCTGATTAACATGAAGTCTTGTGTCATTTCGAGTGTACCTACCTCGGCAGGCCCAGCTCCGAATCCGTTCAGGATGCATGCTCCCATGTAACTTCCATAGGAAGTAGCAAGCGCTCGCCAGATGTTACTGACCAGACAGATGAGGATGGAAAAGATCAGGACCGGCCGTCGACCGAAGGTTGCCTGGACGGGAACCCTTCAACTCGTCAGCCACGCGTCGGTTTCGAGACTCTCGAGTGACGCACCAGAAGAAATTACTGAAACCAAGAACGAGAATGCAAACGCCGGTGAATTTGACCACGGAAGCCAGATCGGCATCAAACGACTTCATCAGTTGTGGAAACATGGGCGCCAGTGCCAATGGTCCCAGACCCTGACTGAACGACACTGCCGTGGCCATGCAGATGGCGCTCATCTTCCAGAACCTGTTCCAATTCTGCGGACGTCAGCGTTCGTCTCACCGAGTCATGCGGATGGGCCATATACCAAAGGATCATGAGGGCTTTGGGAGGGCTGTGGCACCAGCACTCGGTCGGAGGATTTGACAAAGTGGACGGAGCCCACATCTGCCATGATCTCCGTTCCGGGATAGATCTTGGTATTGAGCTGCTGCTCGATCCTGTTCGTGTGTCAGAGGTTTCCAACCAAGTGAGGCTTCTAACATACTGATGGATCGTCTGTATGCTTCATGTCAGCGTTGCTTGCTTTGTGCGAGCCAGTTGCTGGTTACTTACAGTTTCATCATGATTCATCTCCATCTTGGGCAAATTTCACTCTTCATCCGCAGTAGTGCGTAGTTGAGTGCTAGACTGGCACCGTAGGGTCCGATCTCCTTATAACATCGACGAGAGATGTCTTCCACAGTGCGGAATTCCCCCGGCAGTCAGTAGTGCACGGTTACCGAACGCGGATGTTTATACTTTACGCGACCGAGGTCTGCCTATATATTGGCGTGGCCTTCCAGTGGCTTTTAAGTTTGAGAGTGTCGAAATCCACGGACTAGAATCAACAGGCTAAAAGCGGGGGATGAAAATGCCCGGAGAATAACGCAGGGGGAGCTAGCTCCACAGCAACCCCGGATTTCCCCATCTGAAACTCCACTTCCCCAGGCCATCCATCAGAACGATGGACCACTGCCCCATCCAACCATTTCTTATCTCCAGCGCCTGGCATTGGCTATGACATCCTCTACCCCAAACGACCACGGATTAAGCCCGCTGTCGGACGCGATGACAAGCTGACAACCGAGCTTGGACTCGGCGTCAACTGCCTAGAGCCCTAACCGCCCAACCTCCCCGACGCAAGCACGGCCGGTTCCATCCAAAATGAGTTTAACTATCCATTGTGTGCTAGATTCGGCCGATAAGCTACTGGATAGTCGTTCACGTCACTGGGTTTATCAACCGTGCTGCATTTCCGATGTCCTGCGAAACGGCCTTGGGGGAGGTTTAAAGTTTGGGGTGTATTCTATCGGCAGATGGAACTGCCGATGTAGCTCCTAGCGGCTGGAGGAAGCGGAAATGTCCCAAAAATGTCTCATTCTGAAATTGCTTAGAGCTGATAAAGCAATGAGTAATTCGAGCTAGTTGTGGGACAGATTGGTCTTTCTGTCGCCACTAGAGAATCTAGTCCATTCCTGGTAAGAAAGCTATGCTGTTGTATATTAACTCTTTTGTTCGGGTTTCGGACACGGATGTCGTTGATGCTTGCGAGTGGCCAGGCCTCTATTATGCCAGCCTTAGGCGCCTGAGTAAAACGATTCTTACAGTTAGCGGCATCAAGCTAATTCCCTGTGCTAATGTCAGGGTCTGCAGGCTACACGTATACACTTGAGTATGATTTGAAGTAGCACGCCTATACAGAGCTAAGCGATCTAGGCCCTAGGACGGCGCCTTCGAACCATCTCGATAAACTATTCGTTGCCTGTTGCTTGCTTGTACGCCAGCTGACATAAGTTTGCTATTACCAGATCGTCAGCAGTCTACTTTCACCTGAGTAGATAACAAGAAAAGCCAAAGAGGCCATACAAGAAATGGCACAGTCCTGTACAAGGCCCGAATCCCACAGTCACCACGTTCAAAAAACAGCAACCTACCCATCTACCACCACAACCCCCCTCAAAGATCGACTGACTCACTCCTTCAACGCATCATGCCCCCAATTCTTCAACGACCTGTAACTCTTACTACCTGTATCCCTCTTCGCCTGCTCCTCCTGCGCCAGATGCCGCTTACAGTACGAGACCACCCTGCGCATATGCTCTAGATCCTCGTCCGAGTACCCAGACGGGTCTCTCGACGGGTTATGTTCGAGGATATCCACGATTCTGCGGCCGCTGTTCGGACGTCAACGTCATTTTGTTCAGCACTGTCCATCCAGACGGGTAGGCATGAGGACGAGTAATACCTCTCGTGACCGACCGTCTCGCCGGACGCGGACGCGCCCCTCCAGCCTGAGGACTGGGATTGTTCTTCCTTGAGCCAGGCGCGGAGTTCAGCGGGGGTCATGTTGACCAGGTCGTTGAATTCTCTTGGAGCAGTGGTTAGGTTAGATGGATTGGTAGAGGGGAGGGGGACATACTCGATGACGGTGTTTTTGTCTTTTACCATTTTGGCTACCTATATTTTGTCTTAATTGCTGATAGTGAGAGTAATTTTTGAACTGACCAAGGCTTCTGTATATGCCTCTAGTAGAGAAGAGGTTCTCATAGAGAGCTGCTTGATTGACGTCATGGATTCCCCGGAGATCGAGATCGACTGTTTGTACATCTGATCGATCGGTATACACAATTCTGCCATGACCTAAGATGATTAAGATTATGAACGTCATAATGAGAATTGAACGCATCGGCTATGGCGATACTTGTTGGTCTTGAGGTCAAATTGGCTTCCTACATACAAGAGCAAAATCGATTCGTGTCAGAGACGAGGGTACACCAGATATACTTGTAGTTCTCTAGTTTAGCCAATAATAATGGTTTTAAATAATTACAAAAGGAAACAAGATGCTCTGACTCGCTTCTCAAGTGGGCATAAGATTAATTGGACTGAGTGCCCTAAAATAGACATAAACAGATACTTTAAACCGCGTGAGACCATTCCATTCTGCAAGTTGATCTCCTCCCCTCTCCAACGGTTTCCCCACTGTGTCAGAAATGAACTTGCCAGGGACCACTTGATTGAGTGGAAATTGGGCATCTCATTCCTTGGCAGCCTTGATATTCTGTTCCTGGCGTTTTGTGTCATAATAAGTCGCTAGGAACAATAGCTCGGCGATACTCTCCGCGCATGTGCAATAGCTTTCGGTGTGATTCGCTCCCCATAAACAAGATAGTGCCGGAAACCGAGGTGTAATTCATCATTCTTGAGGGCAATTGCCACATGATATGATAAACAAGGGCATTTTGACGAGAAAGGCCAAATCGAAAGATCCATTAGTGGGGCCAGCTCAATGTATGTACTCACATCTCATAGATATATCTCGTTCAAAAAATGCTAAGATTTTCAAAGACAGAGATTGTGAAGGTGAATTGTTACTTAGGGTATCAAGGGAACTTAGAAATAGGTACTTAGAAGAAGAAAGAAAAGAGAAACATAATTTCTAAAAGTAGATTAGAGTTGATTATAGAAGAAGAGAGTAGATATAGGATTGGACTCACCAATAATAGTTCTTATAACCTTGATATGCTGGGCTCCCACTACTGAAGGAATAAGCTATACTTGGAGTTCCTATCCAGTAATGGCAACTTGCTCAGACTATATCTGCCTGTTAGCATGTTTATCAAGGCAGACTTCAACTCCACTTGGAGAGCTGTACCCGCTGCCCAGGGTCTGTGTGCGCTTGATTCACTGGGCTTTGGCTGTTCCAGACTCAGCCTAAACACCTGCCGGTCATGCGAGGTCCATTCATAACTGCCCGACGCTGGGTGCGAGGAGCATCCATGAGTCCCACTGCCCTTGGTCCTGATGAATCTGATCCATCATATCTGTTTCCCGGGGAGAATATCAAGGAAAGGCTGATAGGAAGCAATTAACCCCCAACGACGCTATCAGGCTTGTATAAATCGAGAGGTATGATATTGTGGATGTGACGACAATCCTAGTTCCGATCAACACCTTCATCCTAATTCTTAAATTACGGGTTCAAGGAAACCCAGACGCTATCTTCAGGCAGGGCTTAAACTTGCACCAGATACTGTCGCTGTCTGCCCGTACATGTTGTGGATCACAAAAGTATACCCTGCATTCAGCATAGCTCCACCTGCCATCGCTGCAATTGTCCAGACAGTGCCGCAGTAATTGACTTGCATGCCGACATAACATGATCCGCCGCCGTGCTCCTAACAAGGTCTTATTAAGTACTTATAGATACATAGAACTCGACGCAATCAAAGGACCTTGAATATGGTACTTACTTGCATTTTGTGCGTAAAAGTAGTTGTGTGTGTTTGTTCTTGAGTATGTGAAGCTATTGCGTGTGGCAGTAGGAGGCAGCTGGGAATCAGGAAGATGCACGTTTGATTAACCGTTCGATAGGCCTGTAAATTGATACCTGTATACTTTAGGTTGGAGATAGGAGAGCAAGTGAGTACTGAAGGGTTCAGGAAGTTGGGGGAAGGATCTCTTGCTTATATGCTTCTCTTTAAACCTCTTGTAAATACAGTAGCACCATGCCTAATCATTTATTACGCAACGACTTAGGCTCCTCACTTGGGTTGTTGCTAAGAAGCCTCTGAGCCACTTATCTCTTCACGAACCATTATTATAACCCCTCATGCTTTCAATACGTGGCACCACTTATATTCTGTGTGTCTGAGATCATGGGGGCTCTTTCTATCTTCCCCGCTCTCAGCCTTGCCTCCTACATACTCGAAATGGGTGCCATGGGGCCAGCTGTAGGAAACATAGCACATATACTCTGCTTGCTATTGATCGAGTGGTCCAATCAAGATAGTAGAAACAGTAATTGATTGTAGGTGTTAACTACGGGCAGATATGCCCTAAATGGGGCCGCCCACACCAGGCATGAAACCGGAAATCAACCCGCCTGTCATTTAGCGAAAACATCTGCGGAGAAATTATAGATATGCTTCTTGACCCAGTCCATGCTGACTGCATAACCTGGGCTGTTATAGTCCATAGGAAGGACATACTCCAGAACGCCTGCCGAGGGCCTCTTGCTTCGCCTGCTCGAACCCAGCCTTTCCCGTAGGATCGCGTTAATATCAGACGCCCATTATCTGCCCTGTACTCCGTTCTCATCTCCCACAACAACCTGCTCATGGAGAAGATTATGGGGCCCGGGTTCCTGGATCGGCCGGAGGAAAATATGGTGGTTCGTCCACGAATGGCGGTCGAAGGCAGACTCAACGTCCCGGTGTGGGAGGGATTTCTCCCCGCGGTGAGGGACGCATACCAGAGCGTTGTGATTAGGGTCGTTGTCTTTCCCGTACCGCATGCATCTGCCAGAATGCCCCGCAGCCTGGGTGTTCCTCCACCCTTCAGGGTCATCCTCTCTTCCTAGGCAACAGTAGACATCATCGCGAGGAGCTAGGGTGCAGAGGGGTTCATGTGGGTATAGATCAACCACTATGTGGCCGTGGACTGAGCAGGCATCGGGTCCCGGCAACCCTTTCGTTGGTTGTTCCTCTCAGGTTCTCTCCGACCAGATGAGGAAAGGACTCGCTGGATGCACTGGTGCTGGGCCATCTCCCTCGGTGAACCGACGAAAGTTGCGTGTGTATTGCTCCACAGCGAGATAGAGACCGCTCCAGAAGTTGTACGAGACTATGATAATGTCCCATTTCCCGACTAGTGCACTTGCTGGGGTGCGTGGGTCCTCGAGGACCAACACGCGGGGCTCGTAGCCCTATCAAGACATATCAGTACAATAAACATTATGAGAATAATGAGAGAGTGTATATAACTATAACTCACCTCACGATAAGCTTCGCTTATCTGATTTACCCACTGGAGCTTGCAGCTCGCCGGACAAACTACCAGAGAGAAGCACCCGATCTCCTTCCTCGCCATATGCAGGGTCAGGAGTGTCTTCCCGAGGCCCATGCTGTCACCGCAAATCCCCCCACGGAACCTGCTCTGACACAAGTAATGATTCTCTCCGACCAGATGAGACGGGTTAAAGCATTTCCGGTTATCACAGAGATGTGATATGTGCATGCCAGTAGGGACATCGTGCCCGCGGTTTGCGACATATGCAACGACGTGCATAAGGAATTCAACCTGGGCATTGTGCCCGGTGCGGTGTTGCCTGCCATTAGGTCTTTTATGAACCTAGCCAGCCATCAGTGTTTACCGAGCCGCTAAAATTCCAACAGCCTGTGCACCTAGCTGATTTCTATTATCTCCACGCTGTTTGAGAATCTTAGCATCGCGGTGAACGCGGTGATAAAATCCCTGAAAGCGTCATCACTGTCATCAAAATCATAACCCTCCCACCGAAAGATCACTGGTGCGGGGTACAACGGATCATACTCATTGTAGTAAAAAAAGATTTGATTCAGCTCAGGGTTGTATTTTGTGTAGTGCAGGCGACCAGTTGCGCTTCGAAAGATGACCACATTACGTGTGACCTAATGGTTGAGTTGGACACATGTCTGGCTCAAAGACAGACAGTCTTCAAATGACAGTAAAGGGAGAAGCTCCTCCCGGAATCTGGGTACGTCCATATCGAAGAGGATGGTTTCTAACTCGACTTTTTTCTTCTATGGCACATGGTTTAGTTTTAGAATGGTATGAATATCATGACAGGAGCACTCACCGAGGATAACCGAGTCGAGTTAGCCTCAGGCTTTTCAGTCTGTCCCACCTTTTGTAGAAGATCCTCAAGAGGTAACATAACTTCATCGCATCCGTCGTCAGATAATAGGCTTGGCCCAGGCGGGTGGTCGGAAGCATGTGGCGTGCCCCCGCCGGGATGCTGTTTCAGTTGCTTGCTGGACGCTAACCACCTCAGTTTTGGTCAAGCATGCTCATTTACCTGATCGGCGAAGCTCCTCATAGGAAACCGAACCCCCACTGATCAGTGATACCCTTCTCCTGTAGCTGATTGAATATGCATCATCCTATGGCTTCCTTCATTCTGGGAAACCTAAAGAGGTCTCCGAGGCCAACAAGTTTCAAAGTCTATCAAGGCGCGGATGGCATTTCCAACCACATCAATGTGTCATGGCATCTTTTGCACTAGCAACGATAGGATAAGACGTAATGCCTGTGGTGAAACCGTCCTTAACTGACAAGAATGAGGATGAATCCGAGGGTGGATTTTGCGGGTCCGAATGGTAAGTCGGTCGTCGTCGAAACAGGCTGGGTGTCAGCGATAGAAACGGGCTGGGCGCCATCGATATGCTCTCTGTTCTTCTCGATCGGCCTGGTGCCAATGTATGACAGGTCACTGTCATCCGGGAGCGCTATCCATTTGGCGGGGTCATAGTCGCCCTGATCGGTAGGCTCGGGTTCCGTGGTGCATGCGAGGATGTATAATGGAGGAATGTTTCGCCCGCCGCGATCGTTTACACTCGATGAGTGCCAAAATCCGACAACTGAAGGTATCCTCCAGCTGGCCATCGGTATATGCAACGAATTGCCTTTTGCCTTGTCGTGTGCTAAAAGTCTGCTGCCCTTTTATGCAGACCTCCTTCGTTGGGCAAGCCGGGGCGCGACAGAACACTTCACCGTCAGTGGAGAGCTCAAAACGTACCGACCACTATCTGTCAACGTACCTTGGCGTCTTCTTGTTTCAAGTCATGCCATGGTCGAGCGATGACATGAGGAAGAAGCGTTCAATTGTCCTTCCGCTGGAGGTATTTGTTCACCACAGATGGCCGCCTGAGACAATATTCGAAGCAGTCCCGGGGCTGCATGTTCAGTCGCTGCGTCAGAGCTACTGGAGCAAAAAGTCAGTACAGTCATAAAATAGCTGACTATGAACGACTCACTTTCGGCCAAGGAATAGACCTTCCAATCAACGGGCATTGGCCCGGGATCTTTCCAACCTTGACAGTCATGCAATTTATCTCCTTCTGCGAACGAGGAGTGTCTGAGACAACTTCAGTATGATTGAGTAGTAAGAGGTTTAATCCTGGTTGCTCTTCATGCTCCCAGAGATGGAAAGCTGGAAGATTTGGAAGGGGGGGAATGAGCTGGTATATATATACAGAAAGAGTGAATGAGCCATTGTCCCTCTTGCTTGAGCCAGTGAATACATGTAGTGAATGATTATTTCGTGGATAGTGAATATCAATAAGGAATTCAGCCATAGCCATCCTAAGTAATGAATAGGGGCCTAAGCAAACGAACTGCCAAAACACCGGAACAGTCAGCCTATACGAGCCCAATCAGCCACAATGTCCAACCGCCATCGGGCAATCCGAACTGCAGGTAACACGAGGTATCACCGTCCAGCATCATCCCAGCCCAACCATTTACCGTTACACCGCATCGATGCTGACACCTCCTGCAGATACACTCACCATCCCGCTTACGCCCAACCGTACCATATTCTCCAACAAAGTCGTATAAATACCCCTATGTAACCAGCCAAGCAGCATCCATCCAGCCCAGTGGCACATTTCTCAGCCAAACCAGTCGAAATGGAAACCGTCAAGGAAACCCTCTACAACCTCCCCAAGCCACCGGCTCGCACCCGCACCAAGCCCATGCAGGTGATCTGCGTGGGCCTCCCACGTTCCGCCACGGAGAGCCTCGCTGTCGCGCTGCAAAAGCTTGGTCTAACCACGTACCACGGGTGGGACATCTCCTTCGAAGAGAACGCGGGGTACATCGAGGCATGGGCGAAACTAGCGCGGGCGAAGTGGAACGGGAAGGAGGACGGAGAGTTCCGCGTGTCGCGTGGGGAGTTCGACGCCTTGCTGGGGCACTGCGATGCGGTGGTGGATACAGCGGCGTCGTTCTTCGCGGCTGAACTAATGGAGGCGTATCCGGAGGCGCTGGTGATCTTGAACACGAGGAAGGATCTGGATGCGTGGCATCGCAGCGCGATCAAGACTCTGTTGGAGATTTCAGACAGCTGGTTCCTGTGGATGATGCGAGTGTTTTGTGCGGATCTGTTCTGGCTGTGGGAGCTGTATGTCACGCATGGCTATCCGGGATTGTTTCGCGGAAAGACGATGCACTCGGCGATTGCGAAGAACGGGAAGTGGGTTTATCGCGAGTATTGCGCCATGATCCGGGGGTTGGTGGCTCCGGAGCGATTGTTGGAATGGAGTGTGGAGGATGGATGGGAGCCATTGTGCGAGGTAAGTTCACTTGTTCATGTACACGGGGAGAAACGCTGATGGCTTGTAGTTTCTACAGAAAGATGTGCCTACGGAAGTATTCCCCAAGACGAATGATCCGGCTAAATTCGCGGGTAATGTTGAACGAGTGCTCAAGCCACGGTACATGAGGGCATTCCGCAACCTGGTGCTTACAGTCACCTCCACGGCTGTCTTGACCACGGCGATTGTTTTGGGAGTGCGCGGGGGAGGACTAACCTCCATTCAACTATGGTCTGTTTAGCCTATGGGGGACTGTCTTAGTCTTGTTCTTCGGCTGTTTGAGCCTATAGACCTAAGACCCACTGGGATGCCCTAGTGAGTGGAGATGATCCCATTTGAGCACATTATCATCTTCTTATTGCTTGGCATCTTCAATCATGGTTTATAGATACCTATATACACAGGTACCTTATGACACTGAGTCTATAACTGAAACAATTCTACCATTCTAATCAGGTTACTCACACCATGAAGAGTCTGAAGAGGCCAGATGGCTGAAACTGACTGAAACGCTGCAGCAGCCAAACTGGCAATATCCACAAGCGGAAATCTTGGCAACGCCTTTGAGCAGATTTTCTTCTTGGCAGTCCACTCTCTTGTCGCATCTAGATTCTTTCTCGGTGTCCGTCGAGTATAAGACTCCTTCAATGGCTTCTATCTGTCTATCATGTCAATTATCTGGTAGCAGCAGCAGCAGTCAAGATGCTCTCCTCGCGCGCCCATAGCATGGACATCCCCAATTCCGGCCCCGGTGTCGAGCATCACTGGGGCTACTATAACCGCCAACTCCCATGCACCAGCGACAAGGGCAAATGCGCCTATCTCGACACGGTGTATCACTCGCACGACCTGTCTATTCTCTACAGTGCCATTCTCTGGGGTGTAATTCTGGGTGTCTTGTTGCTCTGCGCGCTGCGACGGCTCATCCGCGTCCGTCGAACATCACATACTTCCAGTCAAGATGCAGAAACGGAAAAGATTCAGCCTCAGAGCTTCATCTATCGCTGTCAACAATCCCTCAAATCAGCCTACCACCGTCATCTTCTTCGAGGATATCTCCCCAGCGTATTCGGCCACACAACCGGCTTTAACATCCTCCTCCTGCTCATCCTAACCGCCTACCTCACCATTTTCTCCTTCGTCGGCATCGTCTACAAAACCTGGTACAGCCCCGTCAAAGGCTATCCTAACCTGCAGCAGACCCGCGTCGGACTCGGACCCTGGGCCGACCGGCTCGGCGTCCTGGCCTACGCCCTCACGCCGCTGGCCGTCCTCTTGTCCACCCGCGAGTCCCTGCTCTCATTGCTGACAGGCATCCCGCACCACCACTTCCTCTTCCTCCACCGCTGGCTCGGATACATCATTTACATTCAATCGTTCCTGCACGTCATCGGCTGGACCGTCATCGAGGGCAAGCTCTACCAGCCACAGCCCTCCACGTGGAACGAGTTCATCGCACAAGAGTACATGATCTGGGGCGTCGTCGCCATGATCTTTCTGTCCTTCTTGGTCTTTTGCTCCGCGAAATGGTACATCCGATTAACGGGGTACGAATTCTTCCGCAAATCGCACTACGTCGTGGCCATGCTGTACGTCGGCGCCTGCTGGGGCCACTGGGCGATGCTGTCCTGCTGGATGATCGCCTCGTTGACGGTCTGGCTGTTAGATAGAGCGGCGCGTCTCCTGCGGACTGTCCTGCTGCATACCACCACTGCCTCCTCCTCCGAGAAACCATCGTGGCTTGGCAATCTGCGCATGCACATCCCGACAGCGCAGATAACCTCCTTCCCCAACGACACAGACAGCGACGTCATCCGGCTGGATTTCACCCTCTCACACCACCACTGGGCCATCGGCCAGCATTTCTACCTCTGTTTCCCGGACTTGAGTATCTGGCAATCACACCCAATGACGCCCAGCAGCGTGCCTACAGACAGCCGCCAGCAAGCGCAGACACATACGTACATCATCCGCGCGAAAAGCGGGCTCACGCGGCAGCTTGGTCTGCTCGCGCGAGGAAACCAGACCTCGACCTCTGTTGTCCTCGCAGGTCCATACGGACAGTCCATCCTGAGCACTGAACTACTGCAAACAGACGTCAACATCCTTTGCGTCGCGGGCGGCACAGGCGTAACCTTCGTCCTGCCTGTCTTGCTTCAGCTATCTCGTCAACCAGGCTTCCCGTCACGAAGCGGTCTACTCGAGTTCATCTGGGTTATCCGCCGCAAGGCCGATATGCAGTGGATCAAAGCCGAGATGGACGAGCTGCGGTCTGCCGCGAAGGGGTGTGCCAATTTCCGGATTAAGGTGTTTGTGACGCGCGAGGGGGATGTCGAGTCCCAAGTCGAAAGCCAAGAACTGGAGAAGGAGCTGGTCAAGGAGGGTATCCAGCGGACTGAGTCTAATACCTCGCGGGACGGAGAGACGCCGTTTACAATACACTACATGGGTTCCAACTCCGGCTCTGACTCTGACTCTGGCTTTGCGGGGACGAATCGACACCCCGATGTTGCCTCGCACGTTACTGATTTCGTGTCGAGGACGGTGCAGGGCCCGACACGCGTCCTTGCCAGCGGTCCGACAGGACTACTTTCCGATCTGCGGAGGGCGATTGCGTCGTGTAATGATCCTGCGCGGGTATGGAGGGGTGAGGAGCGGTACGATGTGCAGCTTGTTCATGATGATCGGCTGGAGTGGTAGACTGGGCTGAAACAATGACCACGCGGGCCGTGGTCTAGTCTTATGAATATGAATACGAATGTAAATGTTATATACCCAGTTGAATGAATTGGTTAACTGCACTGCCTACATCCCGTAGCCGCTCATACTCGGAGGTAAATCCTCCACCCGCGTCCCCCATGCACTCTCGCTCGGCCCCAGCTCAAGTTCCAGAACACCCCCGTCAATAAAGAAATCATGCGAGATCCAGTTCTTCGTCCACGGCTTCCCGTCGCGCTTCGCATTCTGGATGTATATCGCCTTATAGGTGGGGTCGAAATTGGTGTTTCGCACGGTTGCCACCTTGCCCGTCACCTTGTTGTGGATGCTGATCTCCTTGAAGAAAGGCGGAGTAATCAGGTAGACGTCCTGCCCGTGGACTGGGAAGAGACCCAACATGCTCAGCGCGGCGAATGCGCCCATGGCGCCGCCGTCGTCGTTCCCGGGGATTCCAGGGGTTGTTGCGTTGAACTGCGAGGGGATGTAGAAGTGTGTTCGCGCGGCGGAGAGCCCAGGCCGGCCGGAATAGTGGAATTGGAAAGTTGGCAGGAAGGCTTGTTCGTCTCCCACGTAGAGGATGCCGGAGTCATGCAGATAGGATAGTCGCGATGTGAATGTCTCTGGGCCACCGAGATGTGTGATGAGAGCGGCCATATCTTGCGGCACGTAGCTGAAGGGCAGCAGTCAGATTTTGTTTCACAAATGAAGGACAGGAAACTCACAATGTGTAGAGCCAGCAGCTCCCCTCGTAGGTCTCGTGTCCAGCGGGATTGAGGTAGCACGAGGTAAAGTTGTACAGCGGACTGCAGAAGATCGGATCCTGAAATCCCCATGTTCCGTTCAGGTAGCGCGGCTGCAGGAACCCGGTGAAGCCTGTGTCCACCCCGTTGATGTACGACTTCTGATCCGACTTGAACATGTTCTGCCAGTTCGACGATCGTTGAATGTACTTTTCATAGTCGCTGTCGTGACCCAGCCGCTTCGCTAGCTCCGCAATGCAAAAGTCGTTGTATGCGTACTCCACTGTCCGCGAGATACTGCGCGTATGCGTGCCAATTCCATACGGATCATAGTCATCGGTCGGAATATACCCGAGAGACTTCCAGCTTTGGAGGCCTCCTCGGCCTTCTACGTTCCAGTTGGATGGTTCGACCTCCGCGTCCTTGACCACGGCTTCGTAGGCGGTAGCCCAGTCCACATCGCTGACGTTCTTCAGGTATGCGTCCGCGATGAGCACGTCGGCGTTGGAACCTCCCTGGGTGAATCCCTTGCACAGCGACATGCGGCAGTCAGGGAGATATCCCTCGTGGCGATAAATGTCTACCAGACTTCGGATCATCCGTGACTGCGACAGAGGGTCTAGCAGTGTCAGCAACTGATGCACCCCTCGATACGAGTCCCAGATGCAGTAGTAGCTGTCATAGTACGGCTCGTCGCTCTGCCACAGTGGGTTCTCTCCCGTGTAATCCTGGGGACTGATCATGGCGCGGTACACGCCGCTCCAAAACACTTTCTGCAGATCCGCAGAGACACCCTCTGCATCAACCTCAATCACGTCCAGCTTCTCTCTCCATGCTTTCTCAGCCGCAGATACCGTGCCGTCAAAGTCAAAGTTGGGCTGCTCTCTCTCCGCGTTGGAACATGCTTGTTCGACGCTGATGAAGCTCACCCCGACCCTGGCCAGAAGGGTATTGTCCTCCGGAGCATGGAATCGGGCAAAACTCCCAGCAGAAAGTGTCGATGCGTCGTTTGTCCCATCCGGAGTCACAGAGACTGTCGTTTGGTTCGTCCCTGCCCGGGTCTTCATCCACACGCCCGTGTCGCGGAGTTTGGCACCTTTGAAATCAGCGCAGAAGTGAAGATCGTAGCTGCCTATTCCGAAGCTCGGATTGAAAGTGCCGTTACCGGTCAATCGCCCTGTCGATGGGTCCACCGAGGCGGTTCCGTTCGTGCGGGACACGGGCAGATCTATCAAATCGACTAGAATCACCGGGCTGAGTGATTCGGAGGCGCCGCTGAACTTGAACCGATACAGAGCTGACCGGTTCGTCACCGTCATCTCCGCATTTACGCCATTCTCCAAAGCGATGCTAAAATAGCCTGGTCGCGCTTTGGGGGAGTTTGGCACCCACGCAACCGCCCGATCAGGCTGCTGCCACTTGCATTGATTGAGGTCATCCCCCGGGCAGCTCGGATGAGCAAACAGGGGAAAATTACCCAAGGATGGTGCTCCACCAGTTCCGCTGTCGTGCATATGACTGAATCCAGTCACAAACTTGGTATCATATGCGAAGCCAGCTTGATTCTCGCCTTGCGTGTCTGCTACTGCTTTGGCCATGCCAAAGGGCAGAGTCGCTCCGGCGAAGGAATGACCGCCATTTGACGTGCCGATAAAGGGGTCAACATAGTCCAACACGTCGAAGTTCGAATCTTTCTTCTGGTGGCCATGCACGAATGTAGAGGCAACAAGGGCACTTAGCACGGCCAGTGGAATTCCTTTCGACCAGGAAGCTACCATTTTGAAATAGTCTAGCTTTCAAAACGTAATCAACAAGACAACATCCTCTGCGTAGTCCGTGAAGAAAATAAAGCACCCCAGATTCGATGCGCGACGTGTGTTGGCCAAAGGATTCTGCATTCCAGGGGCTAGTGGCTGGGAAGGAACGTTTAAATCCCTTCCCCGCGTCACAATCCTCATTTTCCATGTCACATTGTAGTATCCCTGTAACGTAGCAATCGCATTGAGATCATCACCTGGTCCAGATGCACCCCTCATATTAATGCTAGAACTCATGTAGCGGAGTGGCTCCGGCCGCCGGGATTTGCAGGGAGAACTTCCTAAAGGGGTTTTCGGCAAGGTGCAGTGGCATAAATAGTCAAACTAGTACTCACTAGTAGCTGCAATGCGGAGAAATGATTTCAAGAAGACCAACCGAAGCCTGTGCAGAACCTGTTTGCTCTCCCGACGCGAAATTAAATCCATGCATTGAATGATAGGGCAAGCAGACAAGGCTTGAGAACCGAACGCTCAACCCCAGCTATCTTAGAGAGGAAAGACGGATAGATGCCGACAGTACCGCAACTGACATGTTTCCAGTGTCATTTTGATGAGATTGACCTCTTTCGTTCACGAGTGAGTCCTTTAATCTTGGAAGCGGATCTCGACGTGGATCAACTACCGGTCAATTGAGGTCGTAGTTGCACGGGACAACACAAGGTTGAGCGTGCAGTCAGAACTGTCGACAGATGGTTTGGCATCAATTAATTGTAGCTTGTAGGAAATCGCAGTCTGTCCCAGTATGCACTGGCTGCTCAGGGCATGGCCAAATGTCTCCTCTCTATACGCACAGGGCCTATAGAGGGCAAGCAATGATCATATATGGTTTCGTAGGCAAGTCGCCAACAGATCAAATCAAATCCATGACAATTCTGTCCCATGACTTTCCAGCCGTGTCTGGAGACGGAGTCCGGATCCTTGGCGCCAGGTGAGAAGGGGAGTTGAGGACAGATTCATTTATTGGCATTCGAGAGGGATAGTGATGCTTGGTTTTCAAGGCCTCTCTTCTCAAGCTGGCATTTTCCTGTCGCAAGTCCTGAATTTCCTGGAGCAGCAACTGTTGGGACTCTAGCTCCAACATCATTGTTCCCAAATGCAACAAGAGCTCGGGATGAAAACCTTGAGATGTAGGAAACTTCCCATGCTGAATCAGAAACTGTCGAGCTCGAGACATGATGTCAGAGTTTGATGCCATACTGAGCACATTCTGGGCGCGCTGCTGCTGGCTATCAACCGGTGAAGAATAAACAGACGGACTTTGCAGACTTGACTGTACAGTCAGGGCATCTGGCGGACCTGTGCGACTATGCATTGTGGCTTGAGGTGGAACAGGTGTGCTGCTCCGAGAGACGCCTGGTGAAGCCGCCGATGAGTTGATTAGAGGCGGCGTCTGATCCCATCGCTTATCTCTGCAAGAAGGACAATAAAAAGTTCTTGTAGATGTAGCTGTAACAGGATCTGACAGACATCTTGCATGATACGACCTACAACAAGTCTCGCAGAGCATCAGATCATCTGGACTTCGACACTCTGAGCAGACCAAATTGTGATGTTTCCCTGCTTCTGCAATCACACGGATATGTTAGAGCTTCTATAAGTCGGTAAGCTGGAATGAGAGACTAACTGATCCAGTCCGTGTAAATACGGCTCTTTTCATTATCCGTGAACACATGAGAATCGACCTTTGAGGGCACCGGATGGCCCAGCAGTCGCAACAATTCCTCATGATCTGCTGCAACATTCTCGCACGGCGACCTGTCAAGACCTGCATGGCCTTGCCTAGGGCCGTTTTGGCTACCCAACCTTCTCAGCATGTCTTTCGTCTCTTCGAAAAGAAATTCCTATATCAGAGTCAATCTACAAGAATGCCCTGCTTTTAAAACAGCCAGATCCAAAGGCCAAATGCGGATACTGCCGGGCGGTGAGAGGATGCCGAACGACTTGCCGACTTTTACCCGAACGAGCGCCGACGCACGTCACTCGCCTTGCCCCAGTCCATAATGATCCATCAAGAATTCAAAGATCCCTTGGCCGTTTAAGCTTTCCTTACTTCTTGGCCAAGCACGCACTTTCTTGATGTACGATCTGTAAACTCCTCATCATCTTCATCGCTGTGAATTGAGATGAGACCCTCAGTCGTGTCTAGACGTCTAAGAAATCATCTCCCGCATATTGAATACCGCATAGCAGAGATCGACAATGCCAGGGGTACCATCGAACAAAGCTTGCGAGCGTTGTAAAAAAAGACATCTCAAGGTATTTTTAGGAGTTCAAGTGGACAATTTTATGCATTCTCTGACCTTTCTAGTGCGACGAAACACGGCCGCGCTGTCAGCGTTGTACTAACGCTGGCGTGGAGTGCCCTGGTTATCTCCAAACGCGCAAGTTCATAGACCAAKGTGCTTCTGTAAGGCGTCGATATGCG